GCAACAGCAGCAGGAACGCGGCGGCCCCCGCCAGGCCGCCGATCAGCGCCCTCCAGGCGACAGCCACCTCGCAGCGCGGGCCTGAGAACCAGTGGGTGTCGGTAGAGAAGCATCTGGACGAGCGGAAGGGAGGTCACTTTTCAGACTCTCATCTCCTCCCTCGCCCGGGCCCCAGCAGTGCACAGGGCCCCGCGGGAGCAGGGTGGGCGAGGCCGGGGGCGAGGCCGGCGGGCCTGGCTGCTGGGCGCGGGCGGGGCCTCACCTGCAAGCCGGACCGCTCCTCTCTAGAAGGCACTGGCCCTGGTGACAGTCGAAGGCGCCGTCTACACCCGACGTGCATTTGGTGACGCAGCGGAGCCGCTTCTCCTCCACCAAGGGGAAGTAGAACGCCTCGTAGCCCACGGCGGCGACACGGCTGCAGATGGCTGGGGGTTTGGGAGGGGGTGCAGAGGCAGGGACCTCAACCCTTCTGCTTAGGGGCTTGGTTATGGTGACAGAAAGCACGGAAGGACTAGATTTCTGAGGGTGGCTGTCCTAGAGGGTGGTTGTCTTAGTCTCATAGCCCTGGGATTAGAAGGTGGGGGAGGGGCGCACAGAGGTGTTGGGGGGCGCCCCTCCACTGCACACTCACCTCGCTTTCCCTTCTGGTCCTTTGTAGCAACTTCCCACAACGCTGGGAAGGGCAGCCCTGGGCCACATCGCTTGCCTCTCAAAGAGCCTCCCCCTCCTTCCAGGGAACTCCAGTGGGCAGATGTCCCAGGTGGAAGGGGTCATGGCTACCTGAGGCCACGCAACTCTTTGCACCACACTCACCTTCCGGGGTCAGCTCTGTCCTGGTGGTGTTGTTCACCTTGATGGAGTCAGGCTTAAAACACAGGGCTGGAGGACATGGGCAAAGACGGAATTGGGCAGGGCAGGTAAGGGGTGAGGTCAGGGAAGCAGGGCAGGTACAGGAAGGGGCAGGGAGGGCTCTGGGCTGGGGTCTAGGGCAGGGAAGAAGGAAGTATGGCAGGCCCCAAGGGAGAGCTTCTGTTGCCTGTCATCACCCCTAAATATTCAGAGTATGTACTGAGCTTAACTGTCAGGGCGTCTCTTCCCCAGCACCCAGGTCCTGGTGAGACCCTTTTTAACTACACCTTTGACCCAGTCGAGTGTAGACCTATCCTGTCTCCCAGCCTGAGCCCAGGAGGCCCCCTGGCTGAGCTGGAGCAGGCCAGGGTGGTGGCTGTGACCCTGACCTTCCCTCCAGCCTCCGCTCACTCTGGTTATTTGAGCAGCCGGCCTCGTCCTGGCTGGCATTCTGGAGCTCTTCCTTCAGGGCCGTCTTCACCTTCTCATACTCGCTCTCCAGCTGGAGGCTGAAGGAAAGCTCCAGCAGGACCAGATAGTCCACCACGATGCTGCCATTCCTGAGGGAGTTGGGAGCCTTAGAGGGTGCCCAGGCCTGCAACATAGGTCCTGGGAAGAGCACCTTCAGGATCAACCACAAGTGCTTAGGAAGAGGGGGAGGGGCACAGGGCATGAGTTGGAATGCCAGGCACATCCTTTTCAGAAGGGGCTGCCAGCATCCTTGACCCAGTCAGCCTGAGAAGGTGGGACAAGGAATGATTGACCATCTCTTGGTGTTGCATCAAGCTATCATCAAACCAGGCTCTCCTGGGCTTCCTCACTCCCTCTTTCTCTCTCTCTCAGACCCACCCATCAGAGCAGATGCCAGCAAGCGAAAGGCAAAGTGGCAGTTCAGACACCACCTCCCTGCTTGTCCAATGTAATCTGTCTCCTTCCATCTTGCTGAAGAGGAATGTCATCCCTTCTATGGAGAAATGACCCCAGAAAATGATCTCTAAAATGCCCCCATGGAATGATTCCCTCGCATAGTCTCTCCACCCCTCTCTTATGAAGTCTGATGGTTCTGAGATCAAGGCTGTCTTGTCAAGCTTTTCTCAGCACCACTTTCTTCTACCTAACACTGCCAGCACATCCCAAGAAGGGCCTCCTACCTCAGGGACAGGATCTCCACACCTTTGAACCCCTGCACATTTTGGTAAATACTCTGCATCTGAAATGACAAGGACCCCAGAGCTCATGTCTGAGTCTCAGGCCCAAGGGCACATAGTGGCCCACACCCAGCTCCAGGAGAGGACCGTTAAGTCCTCCTCTCCAACCCCTCACCTGGTCCTGGAAGGCATTGCTGAAATCCCTGTAGGCCTTGGAAGTGTTGTCACGGAGGTCTGGGGAGAAGTCCTGGTCAACAGCCACCTCCATCGTTACTTCGGCCTCCACCGTGTCTGCACACAGGATGCCCAGCTCTGGTCACCTCTCCATCTGCACCTGTCTGACACCACCACCTCCACCACCCTGACCACAGGCTCTGCCCTCTGCTCCTCTCCATGGTCCCTGAGAACTAGCTGGACAGCAGCAAGGAGAGAGGCAGGAATTCTCAGATGAATTGTCAGAGAGGAGGGAAAGAAATCAGGATGAAAGGCTGTTAGCCCTTGTTTGCCCTTGCGGGGTGCAGAATAATGGTCCCCAAAGAGGTCTGTATCCTAATCCACCAAACCTGTGGGTATGTGACACTACATCATAAGACGGAGTCAAAGCTACAGATGGATTAGACTGCCGATCAGCTGATCTTAATATCAGAAAATTAACACAGACTATCTGGGTGGGCCCAATGTAATCACAGAGGTTCTTAGCAGTGGACAAGGGAGGCAAAGAGATCAGAGTCAATTGGAGGAAGATGTGACTATGGAAGAAAGGCACAGAGATGAAACCTTGCTGGCTTTGCAAATAGACAGAGGAAGGTTAGCAGATAGCATGGAGGTTAAGGTACCTGGATCCCACATAGTCAACTGTGTGGTTCAATTCCCAGACCCAGTGGCTTTAAAAAAATGCTGAGGATGTGTGTATGCATGCCCAAAATCCTGAGAGGAGAATGGTGGAAAAGAGATTGCAGTATGGCCATCCTCTAAGGGGACTTTCTGTCTCTCACCGACCCCTCTCTGACAAGGGCACGTGCAATATAGCAAACTAAAAAAAGAAATTGGAGAGAGAAAGCCTTGACACAAGGAACGTAGAGACTCCAGAGTGGCAAAGGGGAAAAAAAAAAAAAGTTTTTTTTCTGAAGGTTGTAAAGAAAAACCTTCAGAAAAGAATATAGCCCTGATGACATCTTTTTTTTTTTTTTTTGGAGAGGTTTTTGCTATAGGGCTTGTGCGCTTGCCAGACAGCGAGGGTGAGACAGAGAGACAGAAAGCGAGAAATCACCCCCTAGGGGGGATGGCCATGCCACAATCCCTTCTCCTCCATTCTCCTCTCGGGATCTTGGGCACACACGCACACGCACCCGACGTGAGTTTTAAGCCACCAGGTCCAGGACGCGAACCATGGTCGACTACGTGGGAGTCCAGCAACATAGCCATTGCGCTAACTGCTGGTCCCATAGCCCTGATGACATCTTGATTTTAGCCCGGAGAGACCCTCAGTGGACTTTTAGTCTACATAACTGTAAGATGATAGTTTTGGCTGTTTCACTGCTAGGTTTGTGGTAATTCATTATAGCAGCCATTGGAAACTAATACAGCTCCAGCTATCCAGACCAGGAGGTAACGCCAGGAGAGAGACACCTCTTGGAAGTGAGGATGGAAAGAAGGCATGATGTGAGGCATGGGATGAAGGAGTCATTGGCACCTGCTGGAGGATGTGCAGCAGGCATGATGAGAGGAGGCAGGGATGGAAGGAGTCAGTGGCACCTGCTGGAGGATGTGCAGCAGGCATGGCTCTGGCAGCTCACCTAGATCCACCTGCTCCACAGCAAACTCACAGTGGGAACCATAAAAAGTGCTGGGGCACTGGCACTTGAAACCATTCCATCTCCCCCCATTCTGACACTGGATCTGGAACTCACAGTGATCTCCAGAAAATCCTGGGAGGCAAAGGCACTGGCCCTGCTCCCAGGTACCACCATTGTCACAGGTACCTGCAAAGCAGAAGAAAGGGAAATTCAAGATAGGGCCTGATAGGTGAATTTAACAGGGGGAACGGGAGAGGAACAGAGGAGCAGAAGGTCCAACCTGGGGCGGTGGTCAACTTCGATTGTGTGGCCGAAATAGTAGTCGTCCTGGGTGACACCGTAGTGGTGGGAGTCTGGGTGGTGGCCGCTGGTGTGTCTGAAGTCCTTTTGGTGGGTGGGGTGGGGGATGTCAACTTGCTTGAAGTCATCATGGCACTTGGACGGCTGCTGCTTATTGTGGTGGTGAGTCGGAGGCTTGTGAAGTCAGGCACACTGGGGTTGGTTACAGAGTTAGTGCTCAGCCAGGTCTCACTGGTGGGCGTGTGAGTGCTCATCAATGCCGTGTTCATGGGTACAGTCCCTATGCTGGTAGAACTAGCAGCATCAGTTATGATGTTGGTGTGCTCTGTTTCCAAAGTCAGGGAAGCAGACGTGTCCATATATGTAGGAAGGACAGTTCTCATAGTGGTGGAACTCGGAGAGGTCACCATTTCAGTAGTAGAGGGAAGGACTGAGAATGGAATGGTGGGAGTAGCTTCAGTGCTGGAATCCAGCTCAACACATGGAGAAGTGGGAGAGTTTGGAACTATCGTAATTGTTATAGTTTCAGGGCAGGATGCAGTGGGGGGAAGAGAAATATAAGAAAAAGGAGTAATGTCAGTAACTGTTGTTGCTAGATAGGAGCTGGCTGAAGAAGTCTTAGTGGTTGCAGATGAAGAGAGAGTAGGAAAAGCCATGACAGAGGTAGAGCGCATAGAGTTAGTGAGAGTGGTGAGAATCGGGCTGATGCTGGTGGAAAGTAGAGAGGAGGACATTGTTATTGTAGGTATTGAAGACGAAATGATAGTACTGAAAGAAGTAGTTATTGCATTTGTAGATGTATTCCTGCCAGTAAAAGATTCTGTTGTGGACACACCTGAAGAGGTGAGTGAAGTTTGCAAAGAGGGGGTTGAGAGGGAGGTTTTAAGAGTGGACAGAGATGTACTTGTAAGTTGGTTTTGAGTCATTGATGTGTCAGTGCTGAAAACTGTTGATGGAGTGTGAGTGTGAAGAGAAGAGATGAAAGAATCTGTATTTCCAGAGGTGAGAGTAGTAGGTACAAAAGATTGTTGAGTGCTTCTGTGAGAAACCAATGTAAGAAATGTAGGTGATGACAATGAGGTGTCAGGTGTAACAGAAACATTTGCACCAAGGGAACTCGTAGGAATGTTTTTAGCAGTTGTGGGAGTGGTGGCAGGGATAGTGCTAACAAGAGGTAAGGTTTCTGTAACCTGAACAGTGGGGGAAGGTGGAAGGATATTTGTGGGGGTTGCTATTGTACTAAAGTCAGTATGTGTTGAGGGATGGTCTATTGTTGTGGCATCCGATGAATCAGAGGTGCCAGTAAAGGAGGTGGTGAGAGCTGGTGTGGTAGTGATGCCTGTACTGAGAGAAGATGGGATTAGAGCTGTGGATGTCTCCACGCTACCCAAATTAGTGGAAGGTGAAGTGATGGCAGTTGTGGATGTGCTGGACGTAGAGTATATGTTGGAAGAGGTGAAGCTGGGAGTACTATGTGAGGTCAAGCTGCCTGTTGCTACCAAGTTTGTTGTAGCAGACTTGGTTATTTCTGTAGTGGGCAGAGAGGAAGAGGTGAATATGAGAGGATTAGCAGTGGTTGCTGTGTCTGTTGTAGTGACAGAAGATAATTTACTTGTGAAGTCTGTCACAGAACTGGTGGGATAATTGGAGTAGGTAGTCTCCGATGTAGGTGTCGACCTGTTTCCCATAGTATGGAGTGTGGAAATCAAAGTGGATAAGGGGGTAGTATTTGTGGTACCTGTGGTGACAGGATCTGTGCTTAGGACAGATGTGGAAGATGGGATCCTACCCGTGGTTGATGTTAAAACACTGATGGTCATGGGAAGTGATATGACAGTTGTCCTAGAACTCACTGTTTCAGTGGGAGTGATGGAAGAAGTGTTCTGGGGAGTAGAAGTCATTTCAGTTTTAAGAGATTCTGTAGAGTCATCAGTGATAGGAGTTAGTGTGGTTTTCCCAGTAGCTGTGGCACTAGGATTCGTGAAGTTCAACTGTCCTCTTCCTGTAGTTGTTACAGTGGCTGGAGATGGTTCCAGAGTTTTGGTTATAGTATCTATGTTGTCAGTAGTAGTTGTTGGGGCAGATTCACCTGCTGTATGGAATGCACTGGTGATGACTGGAGCTGCAGAGATGCTCTCCGTGTGAGTGGCCTTGGTAGTGCTGGCTGAACTGGATAAGGAGAAGGCAGATGTGACTGGAAAGCTTGTGAAAAAAGAATGTATTGGGCTGTTTTCATTACTTGTGAGAGTTGTTTTCATGGTGGGAGTGTTGGTAGGGATAGTGCTAGCATGAGATGTTTCTGTGTTCTGGATGATGGAGAAAGATGGAATCGTATTTGTGGTGGTTGCTGAAGTACTGGAAGCTGTGGGTGTTGAAGTAATGTCTGTTGTCATGATCAGTGAACCAGTAGCATCTACAGGGGACTGAGAGATACTTGTTGGCATTACAGTAGGAATGCCTGTACTAAGAGAAAATGGAGTTATGGATGCAGGTGTCTCCACAGTATTCAAATTAGTTGGAGGTGAGGAGATGGCAGTTGTGGCTATGCTGGATGTGGAGTAGATGTTAGCAGAGGCCAAGTTGAAAGTACTGTGTGGAGAGTTCAGTGTGCCTGTTGCTATCAAGTCTGTGGTAGCAGTCTTGGCTGTTTTTGTAGTAGATAAAGAGGAAGAGGAGGGTATGAGAGGGATGGCAGTGACTGATGTGTATGTAGTAGTGACAGGAGAGGTAATTTCAGTTGTGAAATCTGTAACAGCACTACTGGGAGAATTAGGATGAGTGGTCTCAGAAGTAGGAATAGGCCACACATTGGTAGGAGAGATCAAGGTAGAGAAAGGGGCAGTGTCTGTGATTTCACTGATGACTAGTTCTGTTCGTGGGCTAAGTGCAGAAGATAGAATTCTGCTTGTGGATGATACTAAAGTATTGGTGGTTGTGGGAGATGTGGTGACTGCCCTAGAAGTAACTATATTAGTGGGCATGATTGAAGGAAAGATTGAAGGAGTGGAAGTCATTTCAGTCATGAGATATTCTGTAGAACCATCTGTAGTAGGAGTAAGTGTCATTTTCCCAGTTGATGTGGCACTAGGAGTGGTGATGGTGCTCTGGCTTATTCCTGTAGTTGCAACAGTGGCTGAAAATGGTTCTGTAGTTGCTGATGTGGTAGTGGTTGTTGGAATAGATTTAGCTGTTGTGTGGAATGTGATGCTGGGAGCTGAGGACATACTCTGTGTGTGTATAGTCCTGGTATCACTGACAGATGTGGAAGAAGAGAAAGTAGAAGCAACTGGAAAGCTTGAAGTGGAGGAACTTGAGTTTTCTGTGTTTGTGGGAGTCATACTCAAAGTGTGAGTGACATAAGAGGTTGTGCCACCAAGAGATGTTGTTTTTGTATTCTGAAAAGTGGGGGAATATGGAAGGAGACTAGCAGGGGATGTTGATGCACTGGAAGCTGGGTTGAGTGAAGTAAGTTCAGTTGTGATAGTCAGTGAATCAGTGAGGCCCACAGATGACTGAGTGAGAGTTGTGTGTGTTGGGAGTGGAATGACTGTATTAAGAGAAGACAGGATCATAGTGGTGGATGTTCTAACAGGGCCTGATATAGACGGGATTACAGTGATGTTAGTCATGGATGTGCTGGATGAGGAGTAAATCTCTGAAGAGGTGAAACTGGGAGTCCTTTGTGAGGAGTCCATGGTGCCTGTTGTTACTAAATTTGTGGTAGCACTCTTCACTGTTGCTGCAGAGGACAGAGATGGAGAGATGGGTGTGAGAAGAGAGGCAGTGGTCAATTTGTCTGTGGGAGAGGTAGTTGTGGGGTTCATGATATCACTAGTGGGAGAATTAGCATAGGTGGTCCCAGAAGTATGGGTAGACCAGTTGTTGGTAGGAGCAATTGTGGAAATCAAGGTAGATAATGGGGTGGTGTCTGTGGTAACACTGGTGACTGGATCTGTGCTTAGGACAGATGTGGAAGATGGGATCCTACCTGTGGGTGATGTTAAATCACTGGTGGTCATGGAAAGTGGTGTGATAGTTGTCCCAGAACTCACTGTTTCAGTGGGAGTGATGGAAGAAGTGGTTGGAGGAGTAGAAATCATTTGAGTTATAATAGATTCTAGAGAATCAACAGTGGTAGGAGTTAGTGTGGTTTTCCCAGTAGCTGTGGCACGAGGAGTGGTGAAGGTCATGTGTCCTCTTTCTGTAGTTGCTGTGGTGGCTGGAGATGGCTCCACAGTTGTTGATATGGTGTCTATGTTGGAGGTAGTGGTTGTGGTGGGAGTGTTGGTAGGGATATTGCTAGCAAGCGATGTTGTGTCTGTGTTCTGGATGGTGGAGAGAGATGGAATCATATCTGTGAGAGTTGCTGAAGGACTGGAAGCTGCGAGTGTTGAAGTGAGGTCTGTTGTCATGGTCATTGAACTACTGGTATCCATAGATGAGTAAATGATACTCGTTGGTGTTACAGAAGGGATGCCTGTACTAAGAGAAGTTGGACTTATGTCTGTGGTTGACTCCACAGGAACCAGATTAGTTGGAGGCAAGGTGATGGTACTTGTGGATAAACTGGATGTGGAGTAGATGTCCGAAGAGGTGAAGCTGGAAGTACTGCGTGAAGAGTCCAGGGTGCCTGTTGCTACTAAGTTTGTGGTAGCAGTCCTAACTGTTTCTGCAGTGGACAGAGATGGAGAGACGGGTGTGAGAAGAGTGGCAGTGGTCAATTTGTCTGTGGGAGAGGTAGTCGTGGGGTTCATGATATCACTAGTGGGAGAATTAGCATAAGTGGTCCCAGAAGTATGGGTAGACCAGTTGTTGGTAGGAGCAATTGTGGAAATCAAGGTAGATAGAGGAGTGGTGTCTGTGACTGGTTCTGTGCTTAGGACAGATGTGGAAGATGGGATTCTACCTGTGGGTGATGTTAAATCACTGGTGGTCATGGAAAGTGGTGTGATAGTTGTCCCAGAACTCACTGTTTCAGTGGGAGTGATGGAAGAAGTGGTTGGAGGAGTAGAAATCATTTGAGTTGTAATAGATTCTAAAGAATCATCAGTGGTAGGAGTTAGGGTGGTTTTCCCAGTAGCTGTGGCACGAG